AACTGTGCATCTGATAGCTTGGCTATCTGTTCATCGCATAGTTTTATTTTTTTCTGGAGCTTTGATCTGTTCTTTCATCTGCACCTATTATATAGTCAGGGGTGGAGCCTTAGGTATTTGCCAGGGCAGGGCAACCTCTGTTGCTGCACTGTGGCACTGTTAGTGGGGGAGGGGTCTGACAAGGAACAGTTCTGCTTGCTCAGCTCTCAGCAGGCTCTCGATCACTTCCTCCACTAGCCACAAGTAAATTGGACCCTTCTGGTGCTGATTCCCAGATGAGTGGTTTTGTGTATGCTCTAGGACCCTGTGGGTCACTCAAGTGAACTCTCCTGGAAGGCTGGGAGTTTCTCATTGCTGTCTCAACCCCATAAGTTTTTTCAGTCAGAGGTTTTCAGGCTTTATTTCCCTGCACTGGGACCCTGGGTTGTGTAGTCTATCTCACTCCCCAGTTGTTCCTCCTGGTTTGGCTGCATGCAATTGTTGGATTGCCCACTCGGCCAGCTGCTGCCTCACTTATTCCAGTCCCCCAGCCACCTCCTCGTCATAAGTCCTCTCTACCCCAGCTGCCCATCTCTGCCCCTCCTACCAGTCTGGATGAATGTTTCTTCTTTAACTCCTTGGTTGTTGGATTAACATACGATTAGATTTTCTGGCAGTTCTGGTTATTTTTTGTTTTCAAATTTTTTTGTTGCCCTTCTTTGATTGTGCAGGGAGTCACAGTGTATCTATCAATACCTCCATCTTGGCTGGAAGTTTCTCATTTCTTTAATTTTTTTCTCTAATTAGTGTTTTTTGCTACCTTGTTTTCCAAATCTCTGATTTGTTTGTCTGCTTCAACCAACCTATGGTTTATTATTTCTAGTGTATTAGTCACTTTAGATACTATATTCTTTATTTCTGACTGTGTTTTTCATAGTTTCTCAGACCTTTTTCATTCTGTTGAAGTTCTCACTGAGTCGCTTCAGCATCCTTATAACCACTTTTTTGAACTAACTCTATATCTGATAAATTGCTGCCCTCCACTTTATGTAGCTTTTTTCCTGGAGAATTCTGTTTTCCTTTCATTTGGGACATGTTTCTTTGTCTCCCTAGTTTAACTTTCTCTTCATGTTTGTTTCTTATTAAGTAGATCTGTTCTGTCATCTAGGGTTGGTAAGATGGACTTATGTTGTAGGTGTCCTATGGGTTCCATTGGCACATTATCCTTAACCACCTCATCTGGGTGCTCTAGGAATGCTTATGTTTATATAAGCCATCTTGTCATAATTGATTCTTGAATGCTATTGGCCCATTTGTGTGTGTGGAGAACCTCAAGCTGGCTGGATTATAAAATCAATCCCAACCATAGTGTATGAGCTGTTGCACATGTTGTGATCATATTTTGCCTCAGCAGAGTCTTGTACCACCATGATTTCCCTTTAGATATGCCACTTGTCAAGCTAACTGGATTCTGCTCTGGTATCTGAAGCTGGACATTGGGCATGTCTCTTCTGGGACCTCTTGAGAGGGACTCTGATGCATATTCATATCAGATGCTGCCTGTGACTGGCTATGGGAAAATTTTTGAAGCTACAAAGTGACCCATATTTTGTGGCTGCCTCTGCTGGGCCCTGGTATGCATAGAAATGACAAATCTACACACCAAGTCCAGTTTCCACTGCACTGAGCCCAGAGCCTAGTCAGGAAAAGTCCCAAGGCACCCTGAAATTCACCCTGCCTGCCTCAGCCTGTTAGTCTCAGTCACTGAATGAGCCTCTGGTGATAGTTGAGTTTCATGATAGATTCTCAGTGAGTCACCCAGTGGGTGTGATTAGGGTTCACCCATTTGCTACAGTTTCAAACTCAGTGTCAGTGCTGGATCTGAGGCCACTCAGAAAATGTCACAATGTGTACAAAATGTAGCTCCCTTGCCCCACCATGTGCCTTCAATCCTTTGTGCTGATTTGGGGTTTTGGAGAGTTGTCAGGGTGCAGTCAACAGAGTTTATCCGGTTCAAACAGCATATTTGGCCATCTGAACAGAAGGCTCTGCACCAGTCTGGCATGGGAGAAAAAAATGGCCCCAGTCCTTGGGGTACACAACTCAGTCTGTCCAGATTCTTCTGAGGGCTATAGCTTGGAGGGGTGAATCCACCAGGAGACAGAAGGATAGAGCTGCCAGGAGCCCAGAGGCTAGGGCTAGAAGATCCCTCATTCAGGGGAGGCACAACCAGTCATGTTCATGCAAAAGAGGGTTGAAATGGATGCTGCTGCAAAGCTTCACAAGTCAGTCAATGAACCCTGCTGAGAATGGAAAGACCTGTTCATTCCAGGACAGCTAACTCCTCAGCAGGACACAGCTCTGTAGGGAGAAGCAACATGGAGTTCAGAGGGCAACATGGAGTTCAGAGGGCAATATTCATCAACTCCTCCAGGTTGACGCCATAAAGAGGGGAGTGTTCTAACCAAGAAAGATTGCATCTGTGGTATGGAGGAGGGACTCAGCACAGGGATCCAGGCAGCTGTTCCTTCCACTCTCTCTCCAGAGCCACAATCCCTACTCTCTTCTCAGATGATTTTGGTTCACTCTATCTTCTCTCTGCCAGAGGCCAGAGTGAGTGGCTGTGAACGAGATTTTTGGCGCTGGCCTTTTAATAAAGCTCTTGTGTCTCTGCCTGGTGGACAGAATCCCCACTTCTTTTCATAGGCAGATGTTATGTGGGCACCTTTTCCTGACTTTGGTTCTCTAGGCTGGGGAGCCAGGCAAGAAGTTAAGATCCCCACACTTCTCAGGGAAAACCTGAGAAGCTAAGATACGCCACCAGAATCTCAGTCACTGCCCATGGGATTGTGCCAGTCCTTTTTGAGTCTCTGTCCTTTCTACCTGTCTCTATGTGGCTTCTTCTGAATATCCTTGGTGATGAGATTTCTGTTCTGTTAGTCCTCGGATATTTTTTCAGGTTGATTGTTCTATATTTTAGTTGTAATTCTAGTTTGATCATGGGAGAGGATAAGCATACCTTCTATCCTCCTACTGCCATCTTCTATGTTGGCAGTTCCATTCTAATTTTTAAGAAACATCCATACTGTTTTCCATAGTGGCTGCACCTGTTTGAATTCCCACCAACAGTATGTGAAGTTTTCCTTCTCTCTACATCCTAACTAACATGTCATTTGTGAATTTATTGATGATAACCATTCTGATATTTGTAAGGTAGTATTTTATTGTGGTTTTATTTTCCATTACTCAAATGATTAGTGATGTTAAGCATCTGTTCACATGCCTATTGGTCATCTGTATGTCCTCTTTTGAGATGTGGATTGACACCGAGGTCCTCTGTCAAATTTTAAGTGAATTTTTTGTTATTTTTGTTGTTGAGTTGTATGAGTTCCTTATAAATTTTGGACATTTACCCTTTATCAGATGTATCATTGGCAAATATCTTCTCCCATTTAGTGGGGGGGGGTCCCCTATTTTAACCACTTTTTTTAACTTTTTTCTCCTTTTTTAAATTTTTGACTTAATCCCTCCACCGTTACCCAGCCCCGTGAGTTTGTCACTATTTTGCTTTGTTTGCTTTGTTCATTAGACTCCACATATGAGTGAAATCATATGGGACTTGTCTTTGTCTGGTTTGTTCACTTAGCATAATGCTCTCCAGGTCCATCCATGCTGTTGCAAATGGTAAGGTTTCCTTCTTTTTTATGGCCAAGTAGTATCCCATTGTATAAATATATAGTGGCTTTTTTAAATCTATTTATCTATTGATGAGGATTTATGCTGCTTTTCATTTTGTTTATTGTTTTCTTGTCAGCACAAAAACTTTAACTTGATATAGTCCCATTTGTTTGTTTATTTTCTTTTCTCTATACCCAAGGAGGTATATGCGAAAAAAAAAATAGTGCTAAAACAAGTGTCAGAGATTGTACTGCCTATGTTTTAATATAGAAGTTTTATGTTTACAAGTCTCACATTTAAGTATTTAATCCTTTTCAAATTTATTGGGTAGTCTAGTTTAATTTTTTCAAGTATCTTAAGTATGTACAATTTTCTCACCACCATTTATTGAAGAAACTATATTCTATTGTATATTTTTGCCTCTTTTGTCATATGTAAAATGACTGTATAGGTGGGAGCTTATTTCTGGGTTTTTTATTCTCTTCCATGTGTCTATCTGTGTGTTTTTATGATGGTATCATGCTCTTTTGATTTCTATAATCTTGAAGTATAGTTTAATATCAGCTAGTATGATACTTCCAACTTTACTCTTCTTTCTAAAGGTTGCGGAGGCTATTCATAGTCTTTTGCTGTTGCACTTAAATTTTTGGATTTTTTTCTAGATTTGTGAAATATTCCATTTGTATTTTTAGAGTACTGAATGTAATCATTATTCACCTATCTGGCTGAATACTATATACTTTAAAATTTGGTGTTAAGAGGATATTTAATAAATCATTGAAATACTCATAAAATAATAGGCAAAACTTTTATAACAAAATTTTAGATGTTGATATGGAAAACTATGTATATATTTGTGTATTTTATATTTGCATAGGAAAAGAAAAAAATGAAAAAAAAATCTCAAGAATATATTGTTAATTGCCATTATATTATGATATTTGGAATGATATTAGTTATTTTTGTTTTACTATTTTATTCTTCTAAATTTTAATCTCAGTGAGACTGGCAGTTCTATAATCATTAAAAAATACTTAATAAATACAATTCTTTAGCCCTTATTGAACATCATTATTATTTATCCATCAAAGACTCTCTCATTTTGCACATCAAATAAAGTGTTATGATTACTACTCTATAACTCCACAATATAAAATGTTAGTGACTGTTATTGCTTCATTCAACTACTGAGCAAACAGGTGCATAGTGCCCCAGTTTTCCATATAATTTTGAGGATATAAAAAAGGGAGACAGAATTAAACATGATACCTGTGCCTCTCATATTATTCACTTTATTCTGGCTCATTCTCACAATGTGCTTTTTTTTACTGGTCTTTCTGCAGTCTTTCTTTGTGGACCACAATAGTAGAGCTACCACTTTCATTGACCCCCGAATCCCTCTTCAGAATGGTCGTCTTCCCAATCATCTGACCCACCGACAGCACCTTCAGAGGCTCCGAAGTTACAGTGCTGGAGAGGTAACACCACTCATTTCTCCTACCCACAGTTCACAGATCCTCATGCTCTGCCTATTCTTGTGGAGTAAGAACTATTTCTTAGTGTCTGAGATCTAGGGTTTCCTGTTCTTCAGGGAGCTGAACCATATTCCATACTTCCCTGTAAAATAATTGATGACTAGAAAACACTCATTTAACTTTCTAGAATCATCTTCAGATTGTCTTACTTCTGCCTTCTGTTTTTGTCCTACACAATCACCTCTACTCAAAATTGTCTAATTTAAAGGAAGCATAAAAGGCACTGCAACTAGATTCTTACCCTTATGGCTGGAATGGTGCTTCATAAAATACTGATCACATGTGTATACTTAACAGATGATGGAACTTCTATGCAGCATATGCCTGGCTTTAAACTTATACCTCTCCATAGATCCTAGAGAAGACTTTTATAATGCATACATGGACTAAAAACCAAGGAAATCAACTAGGTACCAAAAGTATTCTGTTCCCATCCTACAACATGCTGTTCTGGTTTATATCTTGTTTTATTACTTGTGGTTACCTGCTACTGAACCATGAAAAGCTGCCACATTTCTTAAGCTCAAATTCATTGTTTTTCTGAAATACTGTGTCTGTATCCCATACTCTTTTTTGTCCATTCTCGAACCAAAACTCAAAACATAGTTGTTTTCTATTTTCAATCAACTCCTGAGAATATTATGAGTAAATCCTTTTTTATTTTCTAACATTTTCCAAGTATCTTCAGCATCTTAATTTAAAATCCACCAGGATCTTAAGAGGTGAGGGGACTGAGGACCATTTCCTATAAAACAGCTTTTAAAGGTGGATTATTAATGAAGTAAAAACATAAAAAGGGGGTTTTGTAAGAAAAGAAGTATGTATTTGGCCCCCTCAGATAGTCATTCTAGGGAGAATCACAGTGTACACCTTAGGAGAAATGAGGAAAGTTAAATTTTACCTAAAAGCCTCCAGATAGCAGACATAAGCCTCAAAGGAAGAGTCCTTTGTTGGTATATCAGCATTTGTTTTAAACAAAGTATAGTGAACAAAAAAAAATTACTACACTTAAGATGAATTATCTATATACTCTGAGAGACACAAATATTTCCAACCAAGGGTACTTATGTTTTAATACCAATGTGATAAATTGATTTTTTCATGGGGAGTTTTTAGGTATTATTACTTTAGGATAATACTGAAAGTATGTTAACTCTTTCTGCATACACATAAAATGTGTATGTGACCAAGCTGAAAGGGAGTATTACGCATCTGCAAGTGTTATGTGGGTGTCAGGACCCTCTTGATACCAGACTCAGTAGGAAACAAATTCACAGGCTACAAAGTGCAATTTTCCAACTTCCCAGCTTAATATATAAAGCCCCCTCATCTAGCTGTACTTTTATAAAACATTTCATTTGAAAGTACTTTCCCTGGCTGCTGTGGCTCAGTAGACTGATTGCTGGCCTGTGAACCAAAAAGGTCACTGGTTTCATTCCTAGTCATGGCACATGCCTGGGTTATAGGCCAGGTCCCCAGTGGGGGGCATGTGAGAGGAAACATCTTTCATACTGGTGTTTCTCTCCTCTATTTCTCCCTCCCTCCCCCTCAAATAAATACATAAAATCTTTTTTAAAAAGTACTATATATGTTGCCTTAAGATGGTAGTGTACAAATTCAAAATCCTGCACCAGTTTGAAATATGTAATTTTCAAAATTTTAATGTTTATTTTATTTATAAATTTCTAGATAATTCTTATTTATTTATATTAATTGATCTTTTTATTTCTTATATTTCATTGACTATGCTGTTACAATTGTCCTAATTTTTTCACCTTTGTCTCCCTTCCACCTAGCCCCCCCTCAGATAATTACCACCCATTATTCATATTCACAAGTCATACACATAAGTTCTCTGGCTATTCCATTTCCTATGCTATAGTTTGCATCACCACGACTATTCTCTAACTATTTGTACTTCTTTTTTTTTATTTTTAATTTTTTAAATTTATTTTTTAATTGATTATGCCATTACAGTTGTTCTATTCCCCTCTTCATTCCCCTCCACCCTACCCCCCATCCCCACCATTACCCCCTCTTTAGTTTATGACCATGTGTCTCAAGTTCTTTAGATTCTATATTTCCCATTCTATTTTTCCCCTCAACTCTTCACCCACTCACTCATACACCTCTGCCATCTGGCAACTATCAAAATGTTCTCCATAACCAGGATTCTGTCTCTGGTTTTTTGTTTTTTGTTTTTTTTTTGCTTGGTTTGTTTCTTAGGTTCAGTTGTCAGGTCCATTTCTTGTTAGATAGATAGATAGATATTGCCATTTTGTTATTTACATTTTGATTTTCTTTTTTTTCTTAAATAAGTTCCTTTAACATTTTATATAATAATGGTTTGCTGATGGCGGACTCCTTCGTTTTTTAGGGTTTTTTTTTTTTTTTTTTTTGGTCTGGGAAGCTCTTTACCTGCTCTTTAATTTTAAATGATATCTTTGCTGGGTCAAGCAATCTTGGCTGTAGATCCCTGCTTTTCATGACTTTGAGTGTTTCTTACCCTTCTATTCTGCAAAGTTTCTTTTGATAAATCAGCTGACAGTCTTATGGAAACTTTCCTGTAAGTAACTAAGTACTTTATCTGTGCCTGTTTTTAAGATTCTTTTTATTTCTAACGTCTGGCATTGTCCGTATGATGTGTCTTAGAGTGGGCCTCTTTGCATATATCTTGTTTAGGATAGTCTGTGCTCCCTGAAATTGTGTGTCTATTTTCTCCACTAAATTAGGGAAGTTTTCTTTCATTATTTTTTCAAATAGATCTCCAATTTCTAGCTGCTTCTGGCACCTTATGAAGTTAACGTTGAAATGTTTGAAGTCATTCCAGAGGCTGCATACACTATCCCCATTTGGTGGAGTGGGGGGGATTCTTTGCTCTTCTTGTTGATCTGATTGGTTGGGTTTTTGTTTCCATATGTTCCAAATTTTTTATTTGTTCCTTGGCTTTATCCATTCTTCTGTTATGTCCCTATACATTTTCCTTTATTTTACTTAGTGTATTCTTAATTTCTGACTATCTTTTTTATGATATTGAGGTCCTCACTAAGTTCCTTGAGTATACTTATAACCAATTTTTGGAACTCTTCATCTGATAGATTGCTTAGCTCCATTTTATTTAGTTCTTTTTTTCTGAAGTTTTGATGTGTTCTTTCATTTGGGCCACGATTCTTTGTCTCCACATTTTGGTGGCCTCCCTGTGTTCATTTCTATGCACTAGGTAGAGCTGCTATGACTCCTGTCTTGGTAGCATGGCCTAATGTGGCAGATGTCCTATGGGGTCTAGTGGCAGAGCCACCCTTATCACTCAACCTGGGTACTTGAGGTGCACCTTTTGTTTGGGATGAGTACACCCTTGAGCCTTGATTGTTTTTATCAGGTAAATGGGAAGGATTTACGCAGGTCAGTCAGCTACAAGAACTATCTGTGACCACTGACCACCAACCTCCTCCCTCCGTGAAGGATCTGCTGTGCAGGGACAGGGTGATGGTGCTCTGACATGGTCTGTAGCTGTCTACTGGATGTGCAAGCTCTGGACTTTCCTGGGTGGTTCAGGCAAAGGTCAGCCCTGACCTGGATTCTGCCCAAGGCCACTTTACATGAGCTATAAAGCAGCCTGGAATGGCTGTTACATCTACTTTGCTTGGAGATTCCTAGTTGAAGCCAGGTTATGATCTAGTCTGGCTGCTGCTAGTGCCAGATCTGGGAAAACTTAGAAAGAGTAATGGAGGCTAGGGGCTCACTGATGCTGGCTCTTGCTTGTTTGAGAGGATTTAGGAAGTTGTGAAGCATGAGCCAAGAGCAACCATTCATATGGAAAGTCCATTGTTAACAGCTTGAGTGGGTCAAAAGTTGGATGAGATAGAGTCTCAGGGGATCTTGAGGGTGTGGCAAACAGTGTTAGCAAGGTTGATAGAGTCTCAGAGCACCTACCTACTGGCTCTGAGGCTTTTTCAGGGAGGGTTCAGAAAAAGGACAATGGAAGGAGAAGATGGTGACAGACAAGGGTGGAGTGGATTCCACTTTCCCCTACACATGGGAGAAAAACCTGGCCGATCTTCAGAAGAACAAAGTAAACAGCCAACATTACCCCAGCATATATGAAAATAGGAGACCAGAAATTGTAGCAGACACTGAAAAACCAGATGGTAACCAGATGGCTGCAGGACAGTAAGGTTCCAGGGACCAGTGTGGAGACAAGGGTGGCACCCTATGCTGGGTCTACCACGGACTCTTTGGGAACTCCAGGCCTGCTGCTGGGTCCTTGGGAGAGAGCCAGGGCATCATCTCCCTCCCTCCTCGGCCAAGCAGGGTCTGGGCAACTCTAGAAGTGACCTGGTTGCTTGAGGTTGCAAAGAGGGGAATAAGGACAAAGACACCAACAAAAGGGCCATGATCACCTGAGGAGTCTGTGGTCACTGGCTTGGGAGAATTGAGATGTGCAGTGTCAGGCTCTGACTCCTATAGTCATAGGTCTGGTTGGAGAATTGGGCTGTATTGAGTGGCAGGATTAAATTTGTTTTGAGAAACAAATTTCTCAAAAAGTAAACCGTTTGAAGGATTCTCCTGTGACAGCCACTTGGCCTACTCCATACCCAGCCTGGCAGTGATCCCAAGGTTGGATGGAAGGCCTTGTGTTCCCCCATACCACTAAGATGGGCTCCTGCCAAAACCTGTGGGACCCAGACAGCCTGGCTGGGTGCATGAGCCTGCACCCCAGCCCAAGACAATGACCCCGAAAAAAGAGTGCTCTGAAGAGGACCTGGATCCCCTATGTAAGGTATTGGGGAGAGGCACCAGACTAGCGCCAGGGAGAGTGCTCCCAGGACTGGCTGAGTCCACATTGGGAAGGGAAAAAGGCACACCAATCACCCCTCAGCCTGCTGCAGCCAGTGAGACCAAAAAAACTGGTTTGACCAGTTTGAAAACAACAGGATATTTTT